ATTGAAGCAAACTCCAAAGGTGTTTTAGCGACTGAAGTTGAGCGCTTGTGCACAGATTCACACAGGGTCTCTACACACAGCCTTTTTTTTTTCTAGAATAGGTTGGGTGATATCAACAGGCTTGGAGACAAATTCTTGTTCTCAGACCCCACCGCTGGCCAAAGACGTCCAGAAATGGCTGGAAAATGCCATTAAAACAGTTGTTGTTTAGTTGTTAATTCGTGTCCGTCTCTTCATGACCCCATGGACCAGAGCATGCCAGGCCTTCTTGTCTTCCACTGCTGGGTTGGGTCAAATTTATGTTGGCAGCTTTGATGACACTGTCCAACCATCTCGTCCTCTGTCATCCCCTTCTCCTCTTGCCTTTACACTTTCCTAACATCAGGGTCTTTTCCAAGGAGTCTTCTCTTCTCATGAGATGGCCAAAGTATTGGAGCCTCAGCTTCAGGATCTGTCCTTCCAGTGAGCACTCAAAATGGATAGGTTTCATCTCCTTGCAATCCACGGGACAATTCAAAAGTATCAATTATTTGGTGGTCAGCCTTCTTTATGGTCCAGCTCTCAGTTACACATTGCTACTGGAATAAACATAGCTTTGACTGTGCAGACCTTTGTTGGCACAGAGCACAGATTTCATTCTGACTCCTGTCCTCTGAAGATGCCGGCCACAGAGACTGGCAAAATGTTAGGAAGAAAAATCTCCAGAACATGGCCAAACAGCCCAAAAAACCTACAACCACCATCGGATTCTTTATTTATTTATTTAAAAACATAACTGTGTTCTCTAAATCTTAAATGTCAAAGAGCATTCTTTTATCAGCATTCTACCACCAAATCAATTCAATTTTACACCTGAGGGCTGTTAGTGGAAAAGGGATGCCAACCTGACAATAAATGCAATTGTGTTTTAACTGAATTAAAGGCAGACACAGAAAATCAAAGCCAAAAAGGAACTGACAAAGTCCACTTGCAAGTGATATTGTCTAAGGCCATTCTGAGTTATCTAGATGGGAATCTGTCTCCCTATATAACTTGTTGCATGGCTTAAATATGTTCTTCCTTACATCTTAAAGAACTACACAAACGATATAGTGAAGGGTGCTTTGTACTTGAATGTATCAAACAGTTTACTTCCTGTGTTGCACAGCAAACTATTTTTGAAATGGAATGGGCTCAAGGAATCAGTCGGCATCATGGCATTAGAATCTGGGTGTCTCACCTTCCAGTGCTATCTCTTTTTTAATTTCAGATTGTCTCATCATAATACGGGTTTCAAGGGATAAAATATTCAAAAGTTGTTTACAAATGCCTTCGTCTCTGCAGTACTAACAAGGAGTTAGTTTGAGTGTCACTGCTATTGTCTATGAAGGATCCCCTGTCAGTGTCACTTTCCAGTACTGCTATCATCCCTACCTTTCAGGAATTTATTTACCACCATCACAATGTCTTCTGCAGACGCAACCATTAATTTCTGAAGAAGATACAGTATATGTATCTTAGTCTGGTGTCTGAGCACTGACCATTTCACTTAGGGTGACCCTGTTAAGAATCCAGGATCATAACTAAATCTAGTGTTTTCAAAACAGCATCATTCTTAGCTTTCCTGACAAATATGTGCTAGGTCATACCAAACCTGTGCTCTCTCTAGAAACAAAAATAACTCATCTGAGGTTATCACGTTTTGAGTGTATCACAAGACGACAAGACTCACTGAAAAAGATAATGCTAGGGAAAATGAAGGTGTTGGAAAGGAGGAAGACCAACTGTGAGATGGATTGATTGAGGAAAGAAAACAATGATCTTGAGTGTTGAGGATGTGAGCTGGGGCCTGCTAGAGATTGCTAATTCATATGTTTGTGGTATAAAAATAATTTTACATGAACATAACAATCAGAATCTGTTATTCAAAGAGCTATAGTTAAATACTCTACAGAGTGTGCCCTTAGATCCCGGCTGTAGCTTCTTGTTCATTTATTTGTATATTTATTTACTTGATTTTTAGCTCATAGTAAAATATTGTAATAATAATAATAATAATAATAATTTATTAATAATATAGTAAAATAATAATATAGCTATGACCATGAATTTGACCCATCTTCAGGAGGCAGTAGAAGACAGGAGGGCCTGGCGTGCTCTGGTCCATGGGGTCACGAAAAGTCAGACATGACTAAAGAATAACAAAAAAATATAAACACATGAAATATATAAAAGCATAAGCAATTTTAAATATAATTTTAAAACACACTGTCACTACAGCACTGCTGCAGTTAAAAGCTGCTTCCATAGGAACATATCAAGATCAGTTTCCAAAGTTTACTTGAATGAAAAGATATTTGCCTGCTGGTGGAAAGGCAAGAGGGAGGGAATCAGCCTAAACTCTCCAGGAAAGACATTCCAAAACTAGGAGCAATTACCAAAAATGTGCCCTGTTGCATCTGTAATAGTAGATCTTGATCTGTCCTTTCATTAGAAGAGGGAATATGGGTGCCACTCTTCTTTTAACATAAAACACTTTAAAATCTTAACAGTATGAGAAACTGTGTGACTTAGAGGATTAACATGTTGGACGTAGGAGACACAGAGCCAAATCTTTTACTTACAGTGAACCTTAATATAGTAAGTAGAACATATGGTTTGCATGGAAGAGGTCCAGGTTTCAGCTCTTAGCAAGTTCCACCAGGGCTGGAAAGAGTCAAGAGACCAGTCTTCCTAAAATTTGTAGCTTCTAGGTTTTTGGACTTCAACTCCTATCATACTCAGTCAGCATAGATAAGACCAAGAATTCTAGCAGTCATCATGCAAAACCCCTGAAGGCCACCAAAATGGAGTGGGCTAATGTAGACAATGCTGAGCAAAACGGACCAATGGTCTGAAAGCAGAAAGTCGGTTCCTATTTTTCTGACCACAGTTATGAGCATAAACATTGTGGGGCAGGGGAAGGAGTACATAGAGCATCTTCAGTTCATTGGAGAGATGACAGAATTATAAATGAATTCTATGTATTTTCATTTGATCTTTAAAGGCAAAACATCTGTTCCTTTCACTTTTCCTCATATACTCTGTCTCCAGAATTTTAATCTCCATCCTATCTGTCTTCTGGACTGATTCCAGTTTGTTCCCATTCTTCTTGAAATGTGGTACCTGAGAACTAAATGCAGTACATCAAACAGAATATAAATTGCTGAGTAACGTTTTCTTGTTGCTTATCAGATCTTGGAAATGCCACTTACAACAATCCTGAGTTACAGGAGCTCTTTTGTGCTGTCATGCTCTTGACATATCCAGTACAGTATTTCTCAGAAGAGCGCCTACAGAACACATTCAATCAAGTATAAACTGTATTTTTGTACTCAGGAATTCTCCAAACATGTTGATATTGCCTTCTTATGTATGGGTGGTGCCCTTTGGGCTACATAATTTAAACTGTCATCACTAAGTGGGAAAACACACAAAAATGTAAATCTTCTGCATAGACCTGTAAGTCAGTGTATCAAAATTCCTTTGTGATTAAAAGTCAGAGTGATCTAGTGGTCAGTGTCTAAATGAACTTGGTAAATCCAAGTTAGCCCCTGTAGAGCCATGAAATTCATTGGAGTGACCCTTGCCTATAAATCTTTCTCAAGGTGACAGATTATGAGAACCACATATTCCACCATCATCCTCTTGACGGAAAGATAGGATACAGATAAAACAATATACAGTAGTGACTGACGCTTCTAAGTTGTACCTTTTCTGCTGCAGTTGTAGTTACTTTCTGCACCACATTCTGCTGGTCCTCTAATTAGGATCCAAATTTTGTACAGAAGGCAGATAAAAAATTTATTTCTAAACAGAAATCACTGAGGCTTTACCTCATTCACCTCAGTTTCTTGTCCTTAATTAACCATCTTCTCTTTGATATCTTCTGAGTGAGGTTTCTTCTGGCACTAGGTGTGAATTGTATGAGTCCCAAGATCTGCAAAACAAAGCATCATGTTGTGATGGCTACTAATTTTAAGTTTGCATATCTATGTATAGGGTGTTTGTTTCATCCACAAATACCATAAATTACCCAATTATTCAGGATGTTTAATCACCAAATTGCTTCTAACGCTGCTTCTTAATCATCGTCATGGCACTACATAGCCACATGATTATTGTTACCTTAACGACATATCACATGGAAACTCAACATTACTAATCTGTCATACAACACCTGGCATTTAAAGTAATAAACTTACTAAAGGGACTGGGAAAGACTAACTCTGATGCTCAAGTAAGAAAGGAACGTCCCTGTTGGGATTAGGCCTGTGAAAAGCAAACGTAATTAAACCCCATGGGGTAAGGAGCAGACAGGCTGTGTGTGAGGCAGGAAATAGGATGTGTGTGGGGCGGGCGAATGAATGCTGTCCCAAGAGCCTGGTGGTGGGTTTCACAAACTAACACAGGACAACTGGAGCTTTTATTTATTCTACAAAGTTTGATGCACCTGTCATGTCTGAATGTGAGCTTTGGGCGAGAATTTAGCACACAAAGCATTGCGGACGTGTCCCGATCTTTGCGGAAATCATTGGCTAGGGATATCCTAATAGCCAAGGTAAGGTGCCGAAGCAACGAGCTATGCTGCCCTTGGAAGGACTGAGTGTCGGGGCTTATTTTCCATGCCCTCTTCTCAGGGCACCCGACGAAAACACTTGCTAACCAAAGGGCGACCGACGAGGGAGGTGGCGCGCCCCTTTTCTCCAACACGCCCTGAGGCACCTTATTAGGGACTTTTTAGAAGGTATGAGGAGGCGCGGACGAAAAGAAGTCGCGCCTCTGCGTTCAACTCTTCGGTCCGCAGAGGCCGACGTTTCCCTGGGGGCGCCGAGCCCGTCTCAAGGAAGCGGCCCAGAGCCGCCGTGTTGGCCTCCATGTGACGGCAGCGAGCGCGGAGGCGGAGAGAAGCGTCTCAGGCGCGCTCCCGGGCTCTGTCTCTCTCTCTCTCGCCGGCCCGCCCGGATTCTCTGGTCCCAGCATGCAGCGCGGCGTAGTTTGAATGGCGCCGGCTCGGCAGAGTGGGCCTCGGCGCTAAGGACTTTCCCCATCGCCCAGCCCCGGCGGCTTCCCTTCGAGGCCTGGCTAGCAGGACCACCGGCGCAGGATCATGAGAAGCAGCAGGTGGGTGGTCGGGGAGGCCTCGGGGCATCCTGAGCCCGCCGTAGCCCCAGCTGTACCATTTCCCCACCCCAACCCCCGGGGGTGCTCATAAACAAAAGCCGAGGCTAGATAGCAGCGAGCCTGGGGGTGGGTCCTCGTCCCAACCCTATCCCAGCCCGCCTCCCATTCTTCGTCCTTGGCTTTATCAGTTCTGGGCCATCCCCCGTGGTGGTGGCGATGGCGGTGGGGGGAGAGCAGAGCAGGCCGGCCCTGAGTGGAGAAGGCCCCTCGGTTACTGCTGCGCCTGGGCGGGGAGTGTTCATGGGCGGGGATGAAGCTGGCTAGTCTCTACCTGCCTGTGATCCACCCTACTCTCTGGTGCTCGGTTGAGGAGACAGCTACACACTTGTTTGGTGAGAAAAGCCATCTTCCAGTGGGTCGTCTTCCTGTGGTAAAAAAAAAAATCCGCCTCTTTCAGATCATTAGGGCTGTTCTTTCGAGTCTGCCGTCTTTAACCGAGGGAGAGAGGCTTGGAGTTTCCTTTCAGGCTCTCTCGCTCAAAAATAACCCGCTTTCAGATGGCCAAAGTTGTCAACAGAGTTTAAATCGCAGCTATATGTGCAGTCAACACAGAGTAAGGCCTGAGGACCAAGTTGTAAATCTCCGTATGGTGCAGTAGATTGAGTAATGGACTAGAACTTCTCAGGAGGTCTGAGTTCGAATTCCTGCTCAGCCATGGAAACTCAGTGGGGAGGTGGAACTGGTAAAACCACTACTGTACTTAAATACTTTATTCATCTTCAAACCCTACTAGGGCCACTGTAAGTCAGTTCTGACTTGATCATCTTCAAACCCTACTAGGGCCACTAGAAGTCAGTTCTGACTTGATGGCACACAGCAACAAAATCTATGGAGGAATGCACTTCAAAATCTTTAATTTGAAGTGGCTAAGTTCTAGGACAGGATTCCTCTACAGTTTTGTATTCAGCTCTCCCACTCCCTCCCTTTTGTTGGAAGAAGGTAAAAGAACAGCAAAATGTATTTAGCATAATCAGTTGCGCATGTGATGTAATTCAGTTTATTTGGCATCTCAAGTACTTATTTGCCAAGGAAGCAAAGGGGTAAAAATTACCACAGTTAAACAGATTAAACACTAGCAATATTTTGCTGACAGGATCTTCTGCAATTTTCTCTTTCTGTATATTAGTATTGTGCTTCATTGTTGTTGATTGTCTTATGGAACTGAAAGACGATACCTATGAATGCTTATTTAGCAAAATCAATACAGTAAATGATTATCCTGTAGAATGTCATTTTGCTTCATTGTTGTCTTATGGAACTGAAAGACTATACCTATGAATGCTTATTTAGCAAAATCAATACAGTAAATGATTATCCTGTAGAATGTCATTTGGAGTGCTGATTGAGTACTGTACACTATATGGCAGTGTACTTAGGTATTCTACTACAGTGTCTTAGAAGGTGGGGCTATAGACGTGTAATTCAAGGTATTTTTAAAGCCATTTTCTATTTGACACAGTCTGCTGTGACTACTTGGTGAGGTACAGGGTATGGTACCTAAGTATTCTACTACAGTGTCTTAGAAGGTGAGGCTGTAGACGTGTAACCCAAGGTATTTTTAAAAGCCATTTTCTATTTGACAAAGGCTTGCACCTACAGTATTTTACATCTCCTTCCTTATTCTATGTTTACTGGGTTTCACCAGCTCTTCATAGCAATAGTGAGAAAAAACCACTGGGTACTATTGATATTAGTGTAAAGTTTGCCAATCTGCTGTGACTACTTGGTGAGGTACAGGGATATGTCTCAAGAGCAGACCTGGTCGCATTCCTGATTATGTAACCAAAATATACTCTGGTGCTTCAGCCAGGGCAAGTTGCACACAGATCAGTAGGATACCAGTCATGGAGATTTTAGCTCTAAGTTTAGTTTATATTATTGTTTAATAATAGCTTCAGTACTAGAAAACTGTAATTATTACGTATTGAGTTCTGTCCCAAGAACTTCTAATTTTGCTTTTAATTTTTCCCCTTTTTCAAGGAGCTTAGGATAGCATGTTTTAGTAGTTGTTTTTCCAAGTAAATTTGTTTTATAAAACAGTCACAGCATAGCTTTTTAAAGTTACTCTTAAGAGTAGCCTGCCACATGGCCTGCCACATGTTATCAAGTGGCAATTATCCCCCATACCATTGCTATGCTGGCAGTTGTGACCCATCAGATGTTCTTGGAGTGCAGTTGCTATCTCTCTTACAATTACATTGCTGTCTATAGTTGTGTGATTTGCAATCTAATAATGCAGTGTTAACTATATGATTAGAAAAATTGCATGGTGCAGCTCTTGGTTCACTATGTAATTCTCTGCAGCATTGCAAGGGATTGAATAGAAAACACATTTTAATTGTAGGAACATACAATCGCATGTACCCTTTGGTCACTGGATTCAAAACTAGACCACAAAATGTCTGGCTACTTCCATTTTCAGAAACAGCACATAGTGTTTTGAGATTAGATAGAAATTCGCCTTGCTTGCTTTATCTGGTGTGATTAGCTATTTTTCTTGACATTCTGAAATTGCTTCCTTCACCGATTCCCCTGACTTTCTTCCTTCCATTGTGGTTTTAATGCAGAAGACTTGTATGCATCTGTCAAAAGCAGAGGAAGGAGGACTTCAGATGACTGATACTGATAGAAAGTGAGAAAGAGACTGTAAATAGTAGTTGATGGTAGAACTTGAACTCTGAGGACCAGTCTTTGAATTATTTTCTTCTGGTCTTTTTTTTTCTTTTTAAAAAAATGCTTTACAAAATAATCTGGTTGTAAGAAAGAATACCTCTGTTATTGCATCCTAGAAAACTAATCTTAGGTGGGTATAGGTTGTTCAGTTGTTACAAGGCTGCAAGATGTTGTGATTGGAATGTTGGGCTAGGGCTCCAGAGACCTGTATTCAAATTTGTACTCAACTGTAAAGCTCAGTAGGTGACTCTGGGCCCCACACACTGTCTCACTTGACTTAACTGAGCATAGGTTTTTGTGAGATAAAGTCGAAGGGAGGAAAGCTCTGTGTGCTGCCTTGAATTCATTGGAGGAAAGCCACGATGTAAACATGATTAAATACATGGAGTAGATTACTCATATAATAACTGATTTCAGCTGAACTAAGTAGCTTGACTAGGTAACTTTTAATTTGCTAATTAAAGTGCCTAAGATATTCTAGAAGTGATGTGCTAGATATTCATACAGCAAGCGGCTCTGACTCTGCTTTGGTCTATGTACAGTTCTGGGAATTAGCTCCATTGAACTCAGTAAGACTTGCTGTGTAGTAACCCCGTTTCCCCGAAAATAAGACCTAACCTGAAAATAAGCCCTAGTATGATTTTTCAGGATGCTAGTAATATAAGCCATAGCCCAAAAACAAACCCCAGTTAAGTTAAACCCCACTCTCCACCATTTTGCAGCAACCAGAAGAAGATGACATGACTATAAAGTAGCCCAAAAATAAACCCCAGTTAAGTTAAACCCCACTCATTTTGCAGCAACCAGAAGAAGATGACATGGCTGTAAAATAAAACATCCCCTGAAAATAAACCCTACTGCGTTTTTTGGAGCAAAAATTAATATAAGATCCTGTCTTATTTTCAGGGAAACATGGTATGACAAATGGGGTTTAACTGTTAATGCTTTTTGTAAGGCTTCTCTGTATTGCAAAAAATGTTCACTTCTCCCCCCAGTTAAGTTAAACCCCACTCATTTTGCAGCAACCAGAAGAAGATGACATGGCTGTAAAATAAAACATCCCCTGAAAATAAACCCTACTGCGTTTTTTGGAGCAAAAATTAATATAAGATCCTGTCTTATTTTCAGGGAAACATGGTATGACAAATGGGGTTTAACTGTTCATGCTTTTTGTAAGGCTTCATGGGCTGCTCTGTATTGCAAAAAATGTTCACTTCTCCATTTGTGCCACAATATGGTATATTTTCCTAGGAATTGTTATAGTTTTGATGATGATAATGTGATTTAGTTATAAGGAAGTGTTGCTTTTTAAATTGTGATACATTCTTCAGATCCGATACATTCTTCAGATACTTGCGTTTCAACCATAGATTGGTTCTACATTTTCTTTTCTTGTTTGATTGCTTCCTTTCATTCATTCATTGTGTCTTTCTATTTTAACTGCAAAAGATCATAACACTTCTTCAAGCCTTCGCAGACTCCCTGTGAGGGCCTTGTGAATCCCTGGGGTTCTGCGGACCACAGATTAAATACCTACGGAATTGAGGATTATGAGAGTTAGTCTGGGCAAGGAGATAGTGCATATTGTGCACTAAAATTAAACAAACAAGAATGCATGTTTTTGGGGAGAAGATCACTTGGTTAAATTGAGAGTTATTTAAATAAATTTGATTTAATCAGTGATTTAAATAAATTTGATTTAAATCAGGTGGTTCCTAACTTCACAAACTTTTTAAATTGATTATTTATTTAAAAAAATACATACATTGGAAATAAATGATATACTGATTTCCATGGATCTAATTTATTAAGATCTAATTAACTTATACCTGACATTTTGTATCTGACTTAGATTTATAAAATATACTAAGTATACAAGTAATTTCATATTTATCTGAATATTTAATTCTTGTTTAGTCATTAAGTTGTGTCCGACTCTTCGTGACCCCATGGACCCGAGCATGCCAGGCCCTCCTGTCTTCCACTGCCTCCCAGAGTTGGGTCAAATTCATGTTGGTTGCTTCAATGATACTATCCATCCATCTCGCCCTCTGTTGTCCCATTCTCCTCTTGCCTTCCCACTTTCCCAACATCAGGGGCTTTTCCAGGGCGTCTTCTCTTCTCATGAGATGGCCAAAGTATTGGAGCCTCAGCTTCAGGATCTGTCCTTCCAGTGAGCACTCAGGGTTGATTTCCTTCAAAATGGATAGGTTTCATCTCCTTGCAGTCCAGGGGACTTTCAAGAGTCTCCTCCAGCACCACAATTCAAAAGCATCAGTTACTTGGTGGTCAGCCTTCTTTATGGTCCAGTTCTCAGTTATACATTGCTAATGGAAAAAACATAGCTTTGACTATGCTGACCTTTGTTGGCAAGGTGATGTCTCTGCTTTTTAAGATGCTGTCTACGTTTGTCATCACTTTCCTCCCAAGAAGCAGGCTTATTTTAATTTCGTGGCTGCTGTCCCCATCTGCAATGATCATGGAGCCCAAGAAAGTAAAATCTGTCCCTGCCTCCATATTTTCCCCTTCGATTTTCCAGGAGGTGATGGGACCAGTGGCCATGATATTTTTGATGTTGAGATTCAGACCATTTTTTGCACTCTCCTTTTTTACCCTCATTAAGGGGTTCTTAATTCCTCCTCACCTTCTGCCATCAGAGTGGTATCATCTGCATATTGGAGGTTGTTGATATTTCTTCTGGCAATCTTAATTCCAGTTTGGGATTCATCGAGTCCTGCCTTTCGCATGATGTATTCTGCATATGTTAAATAAGCAGGGAGACAATATACAGCCTTGTCATACTCCTTTCCCAATTTTGAACCAATCAGTCGTTCCATATCTAGTTCTAACTATTGCTTCCTGTCCCACATATAGATTTCTCAGGAGATAGATAAGGTGGTCAGGCACTCCCATTTCTTTAAGAACTTGCCATAGTTTGCTGTGGTCCACACAGTCAAAGGCTTTTGCATAGTCAATGAAGCAGAAGTAGATATTTTTCTGGAACTCTCTGGCTTTCTCTGTAATCCAGCGCATGTTAGCAATTTGGTCTCTGGTTCCTCTGCCTCTTTGAAATCCAGCTTGTACTTCTGGGAGTTCTTAGTTCACATACTGCTGAAGCATGCCTTGTAGGATTTTGATCATAACCTTGCTAGTGTGTGAAATGAGTGCAATTGTACGGTAATTGGAGCATTCTTTGACATTGCCCGTCTTTGGAACTGGAATGTAGACAGTTCTTTTCCAGTCCTCTGGCCACTGCTGAGTTTTCCAAACTTGCTGGCGTATTGAGTGTAGTACCTCAACAGCATCATCTTTTAAGATTTTAAATAGTTCGACGGCTATGCCATTACCTGCACTAGCCTTGTTGTTAGCCATGCTTTCTAAGGCCCACTTGACTTCACTCTTCAGGATGTCTGGCTCTAGGTCAGCACCCACACTATCTGGGTTGTCTGGGATATCCAAATCTTTCTGATATAATTCCTCTGTGTATTCTTGCCACCTCTTCTTGATGTCTTCTGCTTCTGTTAGATCCCTACCATTTTTGTCCTTTTTCATGCTCATCTTTGCACAAAATGTTCCTTTGATATCTCCAGTTTTCTTGAACATATCTCTGGTTTTTCCCTTTCTAGTATTTTCCTCTATATCTTCGCACTGGTCGTTTAAGAAGGCCCTCTTGTCTTTCCTTGCTATTCTTTGGAAGTCTGCGTTCCATTTTCTGTAACTTTCCCTATCTCCCTTGCATTTTGTTTCCCTTCTCTGGTATTTGTAAGGTCTCTTTGGACAACCACTTTGCTTTCTTGCATTTCCTTTTCTTTGGAAAATGCATCATCCATAGTTCTTCAGGCACTCTGTCCACCAAATCTAGTTCCTTAAATCTGTTCTTCACTTCCACTGTGTATCCATAACAGATTTGGTTAAATGAATGAATGAATGAATGAATGAATGAATGAATATTCATTCATTCATTCATTCATTCATTCATTCAGTCAGTCAGTCATTCAAAGATTAGACCTGACTAGCCCAGTGGTTTTTCCTACTTTCATATATTCTTCAATATTTAATAAATATTCAAGCAGTGAAATACTTCATTCTAACTGTTTCCTTGCATCATTTCTAAATACTTTGAAGAGATGATGATTTAGTACAGTACTATAAATTGTGTTGGATTCCAGTAGGGCAGGGCAAAAAGAAAGCACACAAAACCACAGTGTTTTTGTCCCTTTGCTGCTGTGTACGTGTAATAGCTGTCTGACAATTTGGAGTATTCTAGAGAAGCTTCAAATGTGCTGATTTTCTTCTCGCCTTTATAATATCTGGCTTCTTTTAATTATAGTACATATATACACACCCTTCTCTGAGCTGTGAGAGTCTCCCGTAGTGCAGCGCTTGCAAAGGATTGATTGACTGATTTGTTTGGAGTATTTATGGCCTACACTGTCTCACAAGATCCGAGGGCAGAGTACAGCAAAAGCAGCTTAAAACAGCTTGGAATCAGAGATTTTTAATATTTGCATTTATTTACAAATACACCCATTGGACATTATTTAACAGCAGTGCAAAATCCCATATCAAATCAGTAGGGAGGGTGCAAGATTCCACAAAATGCTTACATGGCCAACTTCATACCTGTGTGTTTCACTGTATGAATCTGCATTCTGTCCCTTTTTACTTTTCCTCTGCACATACAGATATTTCGCCCCTCTCCATACTATCTAGAGGTGCTAGGGAGAGAAAAAGAGAGAAGATTCCTTGGCCCATCGGCCTCCATGCCTGGGTGGTCTATCTCTTGAGCATGGACGTCATGCAACCAGAAGGCCTAATCTTTCAGGGATTCACCTGCAGTTTCATGGCCCTCATCAAGCCTAACACTGCAGTTAATTAGCATTAGAGATGGGGGATATTCGTATTCATAAACAAATATGAATATCCCCATCCCAGCTGCACCTAATGCTGGCCCAGCCACCGGAACCAGCTTGTCCACTCACGCATCCCAGTGCCACCAGTGTCCCACTGTTTCTGCCAATTACAGTAGTAGCTCTTCTGTCTCTGCTCAGCTGGCCACTCCAGACAGAGGGTGGGAAGATGAATATGGCTGCTGAGAGGCCATCCGAGCAGGGAGACAGTGGAACTACTGCCACAATTTGTGCGAAGAGCAGGGTGCTGGGAAATGTGAGTGGATGGGTCAGTTCTGGGGGCTGGACCCGCATTTGGTGCAGCTGGGACGGATATTCATATTTGTTTATGAGTAGAGCTATCACTCATAGGAAAGGAGTGGAAGACAGGAGGGCCTAATGTGCTCTGGTCCATGGGGTCACAAAGAGTCAGACATGACTTAATGACAAACACAAGAGCTATCACACTTGTTAGGTGTGATGTTGAAAAAAACAACAAGAGTTATCACACTTGTTAGGTGTGATGTTGAAAATATAAACTGTATTATAGTAAAAACGGATACTGTTCATAATACATTAGTTAAGAAATAAGTGTTCAGTGTCATCCTGAAACAGAAACCAGTAACATTTCAAGAGAGTCCATGGAACATATAACATGAACCATTAACAGCAAGAAATGTGGATACACAGCTGAGGTGTGCCAGTTTTTATAGTGTGTTGTGATATTATCTGATCAATGCAGAGGTAATACGATCCAGTATCAGAGGTAAGGGAGGTTCCTTCAAGATTGTGGATACCCTCCTTGTCTCCTTTGTTTGTTTTTTGTTGTTTGTTTGTTTTTTCTTAGTAGACCTGGTAGAACTCTTAGACCTGGTAGAACTTGGATAGTGAACTGGAGGGTGTTTGAGGACATAGTAGAAATATTCAGACCCTGTAGATTCCATAACATGTTCATGTCAAAGGGAAGGGTAACCATGAAACTGGGTTAGGCAACATGGAGGAATGAGGAGACTAGTTTTCTGGCCCCAGTGCACTCTTCGACATATCAGCCTCTGAAATTGAGAGAGAGGGAATGTTTGCGTCATTTCTGGTTCCTGGCATTCTGCTTCCATTGTTTTTATTTTGAAGAGTTGAGGGTCCTCCATATCGCCACTTCTAGTGGCAATGACATTTTCAGACATGCAATTTTGTTTGGCCTGAGGCATATGGATGGGTGTTGGAGGTTCCCAGAGGCCATGGAAACAACCTTAGTGCCACATAGTTTGTGGGGCATAGCTCAGTCATTTTCATACAAATAATTCCTGTTATTGGCAGTACTGCAGAATAGCAAAGACTGGGCACTGAAATGAGAAAATTAATCATGGTTATTTGCTTACTTCTCAAGTTTATTTCACAGAATGAAATGGTAAAATGGATCATACCAATATGAACTGGGGCCAGGAGTGGGTCACATTTTTGAATGCTCCTCCACTTTTTAAAAACATCCTGGAAGTAGAAATTTAGTGCAACAGGGAACTGATTTGGTTAGAAACTTTATCCCTGATTTGCTAGTTTTGCAGGGGTTATTTGTAAGGTTATTTGTAAGGCTTTTGAGTGTGGGGTGATATTTAAAGTGTAGGGTTGGGGTAGCTGTTTTTGAAGTTTTGTGGTATGCGAATTACCTTGTAATGCAACTTCACTGCCATGTTCTTTGTTCATGTTTCTTGCATTCGTTGTCCTAATAGCTGGATTGGGCAGTTGTGTTGGCAACTGTTTATGAACTAAACTATATAAGGATTTATTGGAAATAAATCTCTCTATATATATCTATCTGTCTGTCTGTCTGTCTGTCTATCTGTCTGTCTGTCTGTCTATCTATCTATCTATCTATCTATCTCTATCTATCTAGATAGATAGATAGATATAGATATAGATAGATAGATAGATATAGAGAGATCTTTATTTATCTATATTTGTTTGTTTCCAATTACAGTGGTGCCTCGCTTATGTTGACCTAATAGCTGGATTGGGCAGCTGTGTTGGCAACTGTTTATGAACTATATAAGTATTTATTGGAAATAAATCTCTCTCTCTCTCTCTCTCTCTCTCTCTCTCTCTCTTCTGTCTGTCTGTCTGTCTATCTGTCTGTCTGTCTGTCTATCTATCTATCTATCTATCTATCTCTATCTATCTAGATAGATAGATAGATATAGATATAGATAGATAGATAGATATAGAGAGATCTTTATTTATCTATATTTGTTTGTTTCCAATTACAGTGGTGCCTCGCTTAACGAGCGCACCGCATAACGATGAAATCGCATAGCGATCCGTTTTTTCGGATCGCTAATGCGATCGCTTAACGTTTTTTGAATAGGGCTAAATTCGCTTTGCGAAGACCAGTAAGCGTTTCGCTTACTGATCTTCGCAAAACGAAGCCCGGCGATCAGCTGTTCGGCAGCCAAAATGGCCGCCGGAAGCCTGGAAATGGCCCAAAATGGCCGCGCGCAGCGTTTTCGCACCCTCGTTAAGCGAGGCGAGGGCGCGAAAATGGCTGCCGGCCATTACGAAGCTTCGCTGAACGGTGAGTATTTGGCCCATTTGGAACGCATTAAACGATGTTTAATGTGTTCCAATGGGTTTTTTTGATCCGTTCAACGATGCTTCAGCATAGCGAAGGTTAGTCCGGAACGGATTAACCTCGCTATGCGAGGCACCACTGTAATACTTATTGGAAAATTCAAAGCATGTACTCTTCAGATGTTCAAATACTTGGCTTCATGCAATTTATATTAGTTTGTATTGCTAGTTTGATTTGTTAACTCTCCTTTGCCAGACCAAACAATATATCTCTTTGATTTGGCTCACCTGCATAAATACACCTATTCAACCTTTGATACCTCTGTAGAGCCCCTATATATCAGTACCTTAGCATATATATTCCAAAGTTTACGGGGCAAGCTAGGAGGTCAGCTTCTTCAGGAAAAAGACTGTAATCAAATATAAACTTGATGCACATAAGCCATATTTGAATCTCTGCATGGACACACTAGGATGTCAAAAGCAAGTGGGAACATCTTTGTCAACCAGTCAGTCCAGATATCCTCCAAATCACCTCCTTTAATAACTGCATTATAATTGTCTAAGATTGACTGTTAATGTTAAAATGTAAATTTTCCTTTTGTCTTGGAAACCAGGGATTTTGGAGATTATGGCATCTGAAACCCAAAATGCTAGAAAACGGAATCTGTTGTGCATTGAGGGTTGTTCTGTTGATCTCCCCAGAAAAAAAAGCTCTCATTCCATTAAGGAGAACATGAAGGAGGTAAGCTTTAAAATCTTTCATCCAAACCTGCAAATACCAGTTCAGAACAATCTATACATCAAGGTCTACTGTCTGATCAATGTGATTGATTATATTTCCCTTTGGAGCAGAAAAAGAGATGGGCAGGTTAAGGGGGCCTGAGGCCAAATGTATGCCTCCCATGCCCTTTAAGGGCTGCATGGGGCCCAGAAATAGCTGTTTCTGACCTTTTGTTGGGTGGGAGGATGAGAAGCGCTTCTCACAGCGATCTGTTTTGGTTTGGGGTTTTTTAATGCAGGTTATAGGACGCCTTAGGGGACTCTGATAAGTGTCCTACTGCAAGAGCCACTATTTTTTACTAAATAAATAGATACATTTTCTTCCCTGAAGGGTGGATAGGTTGCCAAAAGAAAAGGGGAAAAAAGCCTCACATAGCCTGCAGGCCACACTTTACCTCCTCCTGTTGTAAGGCCTCAGTACAATTGGCCTTTTAGCGTGCTTTACAAACCCTTACTTATTTATTCATTTCCAGCTTTGATTAGATACATTGTATCTCAGGAAAGTTGAGGACATAATTGTAGCTTTTAAAGAAATAAGTCATAATCTGGATCTATACTGTACTAACCTTTAGATCATCCATTCTTGGGGGAGGGGATATTGCCCCCTGGGGAGCTCAGATTGGAAACAGTTCTCTACAGGTCACCTTTAAGGTTCCTTATGTGACTTATACCATCCTGTTTCAGCCTATATTTATTTTATATTGTGATTATGGTCATGGCTAAAAAAAAATTTTTTTTTTGAGAACAGCCGCTTTAGATAATTAGTAGCTTTTCTGCCTTGATGTTAATGAAAATTGGAGCTTGTGATTGAAAGGGGTGGAAAAACTCTCATCTTAGTTGCACAACCCAGGAAGAGATCTGTGTTATCACTGGTGAGGTAAGACCTGTGTTGGTGAAAACTTGGGGCTTGAGGAGGAGCATGGAGTCTCCAGCTCTTCTGGCTTCCAGATAGCCATCTGTGGGTTTTGAGGGATATGGAGCTGAGCCTGGGTGCCTGACCAATATATTGTCCTGCATGGATGAACAAAATGGGGGGAAATGCATTCACAATATAGTTATAGATTGCCTTCTTGCACAAACTTTATACAATTCATTGAATTAAATTGAAGAGATACAGCTGATCATGCATTGGGCATTGCATAAACTGACTTCTGCCACTGTCATCTGTCATTGGTCCAGCACAAAATTCTACAATCAATTATGTATCATTATTAATTCATTGAGGAAAATATTTTACTAGTTAAATTTTGACTCTTTTTTTCTTATAAGTATTCATTTCCAGCATTTTAAGAGTAGATTCACTATCAGACAAACCAAAATCAGACAAAATGACTAAGAAACACTTTGCACTTTTTAACTTGGATCCTGAGTTTATAAAGGTTCAGAAAGGATGACCTGAAGGAAATTATACAACAATGTTGTTGTGTGAAAACATCCAGAAACAATGTAATGCAAAGTAATATATTTAATCCAAAACATTTAAAAATATTTTTAATTAATTTGTTCTTTTTTACATCACAGCTATACTGAAACCACTTGTTTCACTACTTTTAATTGATGCTTTCTGTAGGTGCCTTTCCTCCAAACAGCCTGAAGCCCTTATATATTCCTGCAAGAAGGTCCACAGCACTCTTATTCTTTCTCTCATCCCTCTTCAATGAAACATCTCCATCTTTTTGTTATGTCTGTACAACAACAGAAAGTCATCATTGCTCTTACGAAGCAATGATTTATTCACATGGAGTCCAGACTGTGGCCGTCTTGGTAGAACAAAGTGTGCAATTCTATGTGTGTCTTTCTCAGTGAACAGATTAAACTAAACAGACTCTTGCCTTGATCCAGCGTAGTTCTTCATACTTCCAGATAAAAAAATAGGTGTTCCTAGTTTAATTTTTTATAGATCCCTCACTGTCCATAGTTCCAGGACTCATGCACAGTTCTTACATTTGCTCCCCCCCAAAAATGGTGCCTGAACAATTAGACTACAATACAAAGTTTTTTCATAACCCTGATGTCATAATCCCATGTCCTGCTATGGATGTCACAATATCTTGTCTTACAGCTAGATGGTCAGAGCATTTAGTGGTTTGCTCTTTCACAGCAAAAAACATTGATGTTAACAGTTGTATACAGCAATTGAAACAAGGTGAAATTACAAAAACAATACATTAAGTAGTTGCAGGAGTTTTTCTTTTATTTTCAGTAACATTAAACCCTTTATTTTTTAGGGTAAGAAATCTGTGAAACATTTGGCTTCTTGCACCAGCAGGTAAGAATTGATAATGCTAACTTTTTGAGGACATGATTTTGAAACAGACATGCAGTTGTCAATCTAGGAGAGTCATCCTCTTTCTAATGTAAATTGTCTGTGAAGGGAGTTGAAAGAAAGCATTTCTTTGGCCAGTTTTCTAGAACCAAGTTTAGCAACTTCTTTAGTATGCTAGTAAATTAGCGAAAATAGTATTTTCCCTTCCTTTGGCATCCATCGGGGATTCAGCATGAAAAACAGTAGGTATGTCAGTGTCTTGGAGATGGTTTGATAAACATGTGACCTGCTACACTGAATGCAGTCCATCTGATACATGTTGTGATCTGTCAGGTGTTTAACAAATACCTTTCTGTTCACTAACTGCTTCTGCCTTTTTTTTTAAAAAAAAGGAAAATATATGCATTTATTTACTTATTTATTTATCCCACCCAACTAGTGGGAGAGCCACTATTCTGGGTGGCAAACAAATCGAAATAGAACAACGTACACAGCAGACCCAATTTTTAAAAAATCACATAACAAGCAAGGAATATTAACTCTAAAGATAAAATAACTAATAAAAGGATGATAAGTATAAAATAGATTAGTCACAAATTGTGCAGATCTTTGCTAGGGCAGTATGCAGTATGCCTGGCAACTATTCATAGGGTGAGGATGAGTTAAAGATCAGACTACTTCAGTCAATATCTTTTGTTCATCAGTTTCCATTTCCCTTCTACTCTGTATATAGGAGGAGAGGGTGGAGGTGCCCATGTGCATTGGTTTCTGGTACTCAGCAAACAATGTGTCAAATATGCTTAACATTCCTACCAAAGTTCAGATAGCAGTGTTTTCATAGAAAGTGAAGTGCAGCAGTCAGTTATGTCACCACAGTTTTCCTTATGTATGTTTTATTTGAAAACACAGACACAAATTCTGTGCACAGTGTTTTACATTGATATACTATGTTAACTGTCTCCTTATTGCAGAACAACAGTTGGACAAACTGTGACCAGCCCGCATCCTCTGTTCAAAGTAGTATACTGCAGGAAAAAAGTTCACTATTATTCTCCGAAGCCTTGTTTCAGAAAGAAACAGCTCCCCAAAGTCAGGAGCCGTGACATGGCAAATAAGGAAAATGAACTGGCATGTGCAGGTAATCTGCCAGCAAAACTCCCTGCTGATGGCCGTACATTCTTACTGAACTCCAGTGATTCTGGCCGATCTCAAACGGAGAGTCCTTCATCAAAATACAGTGGGTTTTTCTCGGAGGTAAGCTGAAGTTTCATTATTTAGTTCTTTTCTTCTAAAACAATTGAAGAAATAATTTTAAAGTTGCTGGTAAGTTTGCTACTGTAGTGGTTGTTCTTGGTTTTTCAGGCTCTTTGGCCATGTTCTGAAGGTTGTTCTTCCTGATGTTTCGCCAGTCTCTGTGGCTGGCATCTTCAGAGGACAGCAACCTGTACTCTGGTGTACTTGGCTTGGGAGTGCTACTGTAGCTTTCTCACACTGTGCTCCTGTTAACATTGTGTACCTTTCTTAGATTTAAGCTCTCTCTGGGGCAGAACATTGGATGCCTAATGCCCTGTTTAATTCAAAGAGACAGCTGCACATCTGTTTCAGATGGGATCGGGTTTCCTGTATTAGGTTAGTTAGTTTGTTTTTGTGGCTCTTCACAAAGCAAATTTCAGAGATAGCAAAATCAGATTTATATGTTGACAGATAAACCTATGAAAGCTAGCCCTTGAAGTGATCTTACCTGGCTACTAGTAGTCCTATTAAAGTTGAATCAAGGGTGCAGAGATAAACCTTGCCCACCAATGCAGTCTTAAGGAAAAGAGACAGTCATATTTATGTTGTGTGTCTGCGTGCGTGTGTGTCTGCGTGCGTGTGTGCGCTATTGTATTTGTGCTTTATGCATTTCTTTGGAAAGAACCTTCAACTCTGCCATTAGTTGATTTGTATGCCACTTCTCCATACATCTGCCCAAAGCAGCTTACAACATATTAAACAAATAGCAACATCAGTGAATGTAACAATTCAATAACAGCACATAAATAACTAATTATAAAAAAATCAGTACTTAATTAGTGCTGGAGCTGGAAATCAACACCGACCATCAGTATAACTATACCTAATGGGAATAACACAGATAAAACAATTAAAACTGAACCTATCCCAGAAGTTCAAAACTAAAGGCAGAAATAATGTCCAGGACAATATTGATATTGATCAATGGTTGCAAATATGGGAAAATAACATAAAGCTCACAAAACCTCTCCTATCTTAATTAATACAGGTCATACTCTGACTAATCACCCCTTAAACACTCTCTCTGCCTCAAACCCCCAAACTCCTTCTCCAAACTCTTTCTCTGACTGAACTAACTAGACTGACTCCCCCTCCCTTCTAGTTTCTCTGGCTCCTCCTCCTGACAGCTCTCATTGATACATGAAAATACAATGCTGAATATTCATGCCAAGGGTGATAGCTACACTGTCTACCAATCGCACACCAGCAAAGTATTGTTACTCCTAAAGATCTGTTCAGCATTATATATTTATAAATATTCATAAAATAGTTTTCTTCAAAACACTCAAAGTGTTAATGCCAAAACTGGGTTCTCACTAATTTCACTGATTCTTAACAGGGGCATAATTAGCAGAAGTCCTTCCTTTTCCCCATCATTTAGTGATGTAGCAAGAAGAAGACACTTTGTGTCTGAAAAAGTGGATTTTGATGCACAACAGCTCAGACTAAAATCAATCTGTTAGTCTTTCAAGTGCCACCATATGTTGCCCTCTGCCCTCTTTCCCCTTAACCATGCTAACATGCTAAAAGAGCTGAACACAGCTTTGGAAATTAAGAAGGAGCTATTTTCCTAATGCATTAATTAAATTAGAACTTTTCCATTTATGATGTTCTTTTTGTTTGAGATAATGAAAAATTTTAAACCAGAGATAAGTGTGAGACAGGAAGCAAGAGGGGTATCCCACTCATCCCTCCTCCATACTGAAGAGAAGGAGGCTCAAACCCAACCAGTACCAATTCGCCAGGAGACAGACCAGCAGGAGACAAAGACGACTGAGGTAGAAGGGGGAATAAGAAGTCTATCTATTGAAAGTACTCAGAGCGAAACGGCAGGAAAAGAGCGGAAGATGAGGGTGGAGATTGAGGCGGGAACAGAGGAGATAAAAAGGAAGGAGGAGCAGTTACCACCAGGCTGGGAATGGGTTTGGATGGAGGACCCATGGGCAGGAGCTTGGGTGAGATTAAGAATACCCAAAGAAGAGGCTGATTACAGGAAGAGAAGGGAGATTCCCCCCAGACTATCCTATTGGGGAGAAGCCGAGGCTAAGGAGTGGAGGAGAAGACTTAGAGAAGAAAAGGAGAGAGAAAAGAGAGAGGGGTTGGAATGGAGGGTAAGCAAGATGAGGAGGAAGGGCTACAGGGAGGACCCTGGAAGGACCCCACACCAGAGGGGTGCCCAATGTGGAATGGCAACCTGCTGGAAGGTGAGGTGGGACAGGCTATAGCCTCGAACATCTTCACAGACTGGCCAGGTCCTTGGAACTCCTGCGAGAGAAACCCGTTTCTGGTTGACGAATGGACCTGTTGTTGGAAGGAGAAAAACATTGGAATCAAGTTATGGACATTGGTTATTTGTTAAACACCCCAATAAATATCTCACCTGTTTCTAAACCTCAAAAATCTCTGGATTTCTTTGAAACAAATAAGGCGCCTAGAATAGAACCCTCACAATAAGAAGGGTGGAGAAGTCTGGTCAGCTTAATTGTTATAGAGGCCAGAGGGCTGCATCTTTCAGACCAGCAGGGAGAATACAATGTTCCCTGGATTATAGAGATTTGGCCATCTCTAGTCAAATAGATTGATACTTGGCATTTAACCTAGAAACTTGTGAGAACTAAACTCATATGTCAGTGGAAATACAAGACCCACAACATTTTGCTACTCTGTGTCCCTGAAAATAAGACCTAACCTGAAAATGGGCCCTAGTATGATTTTTCAGGATGCTCGTAATATAAGCCCTGCCCCAAAAATAAGCCCTAATTGAGTAAAAGCCTGCCCTCCACCATTGTGCAGCAACCAGAAGATGATGACATGACTATTTGCATAAATGCATATTGTTGCACATGAAAAAAAATCCCCTGAAAATAAGCCCTAATGTAGATTTTGGAGCAAAAATTAATATAAGACCCTGTCTTATTTTGGGGGGAACACAGCATGTTTTCCACAGATTTTAAAATATATAGGCATGTTGCAGTTGTACTCAGTCTTCACGGTCTCTGTCAAAAGGTGAAACATGCAGGTTATATGTGGGGTGCGTACTTTTTCTGGATAGGAGAAGGTGGCAGGTAAGCAGAGCAGCACTAGCCAGTGACTCTTCATGTTATTTGTAAGAATGGTGCATCAAACTTGAACTGAGGACACTTTTTATAGAAATGGTTACTAATAGATTGGTACATTTTAGGTTCTATAACTTTTTAAAAAAAAACATCAAGGGAGCTGTATGTATATGGAAGCATTAATGAAACATAGTAAAACAGGACAACTACAGAATGGCAATTCTTCATAATGATTAAATCCTTCCTGTGTCTCCTAGGTTTCTGAAGATCATGATACAATGGCACAAGTTCTCTTCAGTAGAAACCTCCGGCTGAATGTAGCTTTAACCTTCTGGAGAAGAAGAAGTATAAGCGAACTCATAGCCTATTTAGTAAGGTAAAGGTGGGGAGGATTATTGTCACAATCCAGTGCTCCATGGGCACCATGCTTGTGTATGAAGTCTGCTGTGTCCCATCAGAGGAGTTGGATAATGCAAGAGGCATGCATAGAGTTGGCATTCATTCAGATGACCATGGTGTTCTTGTCATAAGTGTCTGTAGACAGGGTATGAAGGGAAAGCAGCATTCTAAAGATGCTATCCTTGGAGTGGTTAGATATTGTGCCCCAAGAGTTTTGTGATTTTTGTGTTCCTTGAAACGTTACAACAGGAATTTCTCATCTTTTGTATTTAAATGTTAGTACTGTCTTCCAAAACTATGACCTTAAAAGTGTCACATATGGAAGCATTATGCAGTGTAATTTCTAATGGTTTGGTTTTCATTACTGCTTCTAGGATACAAGATCTGGGTGTAGTGGTAGACTGCCTTCCTGTTCTTACCAACAGGTAAAAAATATCTAGGGGAGGGGATTTGTGGATTTCAGACTTTTAAAAAGTAACTTTCTGATACTGATACTACCTTGTTTCAGCTTACAGGAAGAAAAACCGTATATTTCTGTTGGCTGCTGTGTAGACCTTCTGCCATTAGTAAAATTAATGCTTAAAAGCAAATTTGAAGAGTAAGTTAAAATACAGTTATCTCATTAATATTTAGATGGTGGCAAAATAAATGTTAATCCTTCTCCACTGGCAGCTGCTAACTCTTATACATTCATGGAGTTATGTGGATGGTTTGGGACAACATGTGATGTACATGTGCTCTCTTACTAGCCTTCTTCACCTTGACTGTCTATTGTATCATGCTTAAAATAGTCATGGTGGATGTGCTGGTCCCCATTCAAAGACTAGTTTAACCACACAATCTGTGTAGTCCAGTTGTTTCATCCAGTTCATAGAAAAATAAACTCACATTGCTAATCAGAGTCATTGGTTAGAATAAACAGGGTGATACATTCAACTGTGTGCTACTTTGCTTCTGTGAAAAAAGATCCTTCTGACTGTCGCATGTAGCAACATGTTGCTTTACTACTGGCTTCCATGCTAGTTTCTTTTTGTTTCCTTGAAGGAACATTCACTGGTTGAACTGTCTGAACAGATTTCTTCTGAAAATTGAATTTGTTTGGAGTATATTTAGTTACAATATTTTTTTTACAGATATGTTATTGTTGGTTTAAATTGGCTCCAGGCTGTGATTAAAAGATGGTGGTCAGAGCTCTCTGCCCATACAGAAAAGATAGAGGATGGGTAAGTTGCACATTTTTAAGCTTGCTACTGTGATGAAGCATTAATGAAGGGCAAATGGTAATTGAGACCACTAGTCTATACTGTCAAAAACACAAGGTGTTTCATCAAGGTAGTAAACACTGTTCCAAGGTCAAGTCAAGACCTGCTCTAATTGTAACCAACTTATCATTTATATTGTGACCTCAATCAACAGCAGTTTGTCCACAACTTAATTTATTAATAAAATAGCCATTATTTTCTGAATCCTGTTTCAGCATTTGATAACTTTCATTTTCATATAACTAAGCCTCCCAAATAGCTACCAAAGTACACTTGGCTGCTTATATAATTCCATATCTGTGCTTCCTTTCATAGAAATATTCAGATTTTAAAGGAACAATTAAGTGGACTGTGGAAACAAGAAAGTCATCTTACATTGGTTCCAGGATATACGGGTAATATAGCAAAGGTAAAGTTTTCACAGAGGTTTTTTTATATATAAAATAATTGGATTCATAAATCAAATTTAAAGGTGTGTAGAAGTTATTTCATCTAATTTTTCAGTTAAATTATAGTGAATTGCTTTGTTTCTTGGCATGGCATTTTCCACTTGAGATCTCTATATAGCAACTAGCTACAGTGGTGCCTCGCATTGCGACGTTAATTTGTTCCAGCGAAATCGCTGTTGAACGAAAATGTCGCAATGCGAAATAAAAAAGCCCATAAAAACGCATTAAAACACGATTAATGCGTTCCTAGGGGCTTCAAACTCATAGTTCAGCGAAGATTTTCCATAGCGCGGCCATTTTCGCTGCCTGTTAAGTGAGGAATCCATCCCAGAAAACCGCAGGCGGGCATGTTTTTTTTCCGGCTGCCATTTTGAAACTGCCGATCAGCTGTGCGAAAATGTCGCTTTGCGATGAGCGGTCATTGCAAAGCGAAAATACCCCATAGGGAACATCGCAAAAGCAATCGCAAATAGTTCGTCGCAAAGCGATTTCGTTGCTAAACAGAGCTAGTTTGTCGTAAAGCGATTTCGTCGCTAAACGGAGCGCTCGCTAAGCGAGGCACCACTGTATTTTGCTAGATGTATAGATACAACCATGCGCCTGCAGATAATGAGTCATCTTTTAAAATTTTTATCAGTTTTTCAAACTTCTTTCATCCGTCTTTTCCCCCATTAACATAAACTGCTAAGAAGTGAACTAAGTGTGTTGCTTTGCTATTTATTTGCAGTTTAGCCTCTACTGGATATTCATATTTTATCCTTTGGTGCTTCTGACTAATCCGCAGCCTAACCCTTGATTTCCTAACCAAAGAAAGCATGTTCTTAAAATAGAAATTCAGAGGATGATGTAATGCTATCTTTTATTGTTTGAATTAATTGGCAATTAATTGGTAAAAACATGCCTGTTTGAATTAACAGGCATAATAAGGTAGCATGTTTGGAACTAGAACTCAGGATGTCTGGATTCAGATTCCCACTTGTTGAGGAGCTTTAGTGAATCACAGTCTCTTCCTTCCATACATCACACAGTAGAAGTGAGAAGCATTACAGTCACATACACTGCCTGGAGCTCAAGAGAGGAAAGGTGGGATATGAGTGCAACAAATAGATACATAAATAATTGGAACAGTATTTGAGATCCAGTGTGGTGTTAGGAATAGAGTGCAGCACTGAAATTTAAGAGATCAGAATTCAAATCCCTGCTTGCTCTAGAAACTCACTGGGGATGGCAAAGGTAAACCACTCCTTAGACACCTCAGATATATATTGAAAGCCTTTGAGAATACGTACAGTATATTGAAAACTCTTATTAGTCAGGAGTGTCGTAACAGCACGTGGGAAGTGTTGATTCAATCTAGAAATATCCTTGTGGATGAATACCTTTGAACAATGACCTTGCTGTCTAGAAAAAAGCTACTTGAAGTAAACCTTAAGATAGTGGCAGAATGATTACATGAGTTCAGATGATCAGTGGTAGCTTTTTTTTTCTAGCCCCACTGTGTGCTGTGCATTGCTCTTTGCGCTAAAATATTTTCCCTTCTGTTTTTTAGGATGTGGATTCTTATTTATTACAGCTACAATGACATTCCTGGAGAAAAAAGTGTGTGCACTAGTGTGTGCTGCCTAAAAAAGCAAAGCAAAACAAAAACTTCAGGTAACACTGAACTTTTTACCATGTCCAGAAGTACTTCTCTTCCAAGAACTGTCTTTGACAGAAGAGGATGAGATCATCAGACTGTTTAATGCAACCACTAAAATGCATCTGCTTCACATTGAAGTGGGGGGAAAAACTAATAGGAGCAACTTTTACTTCAGTGAGGTGAAAGTGCCCTATGAAAACTGTATGTATACCTTAGCTGCATTTTGGAATTTGTTCAGTTACCTGGCGAAGTTGTGAAAGTGTTTCTACTGCGTAATTATGTAAAACAGCAAAACTTAATTGTGAACACAAATTCCAGAAAGCTGGGAACCACAGAGTAGTCACCATACATATTTTTTAAACTTTGTTTTTCATATGCAATGTAAAAATGTGTTTATAGTCAAGAAATATTGAAATTTTGCAGTTTTGCTGTAATGAATTTTTGAAATGTGTGTGCTATATTAATCAAGATATTAAAGACTATTTTTGTTGCACTACTGAGAAACTATATATAGAAAGAGGCCTTAACTACTAGTATTGTAAATAGCCAATATATTAAGATACCATATAGCCAATATATTAAGATACCATATACAGTATAGTAATGGAAACTCTTAAAAAAATCAGGGTGTTTACACAAATTGTGTACAAATCATTTTGAAATATTTTGCACAGTTAAATAAGGTTAAGTGGAAATATCCACTGACTGACTGACTACTTAAATCCCTGTATGAACTATTGTAAACGAATACTAAAATGTAGGCATGAAGTTGTTGATGACACAGGTCAGCAGAATTGTTGAAAATGTATACTTTGCATTTTTAGTTATTAAAAGTTCTAATATATTATGTTCTATATCATTTAAACAACACTCTGTTGAGTAAACAATACTAAAAGTTATTATTATTTTAATTTAGTTTGGATATCTCCTAGGTCTCCCACCATATTCAGAATCTCTTTGGCTGTATTTTAAATATTTATCAGTCCTGTTAGAAATCTTTACAGCCATAGCAAGCCTGCGCGTTTCAGATTTAACAATACATCTGCTACCTCTTCTAGCAAATGTAGTTGCCATTTGGCCATATTTCTAACTTATCGTTTAAACTTAACTGGAATATGAATACAGTGCATCCAGTGCAAAAGTTTACATCTGTACTTCATTTTACTAATTTGTCATATTCTGTTTCAACCTGTTGTGGCTTACCAGTATATTAAAAAGAACAATTGAGTTTGATGGGTTTGTGGGATGGCACCAGTGTAACTAGTAAATATGTCAAAATAAAACTTATTAAGTGCCAGTTGTGCACTAAAACAAACTGATATTTATTTTTTCAGCGTATCAACCAAGTTGATAATTTAACGTGGGTACTTGAACATGCCTTGAGAGTAGATTTCCACTGCTTCTGTATGTAATGGCAGGTGTTAGACAAGAATACTCTTATGTTCTTGAGTTATTATAGTTCTGGTCGAAAACAAAGGAGCAATATTTCTGTGTAAACTGTTATGAAGTCATTTCCAGAGTGTCATACCAAAAGCCAAGGCCTTGTTTACATGTTTTACAAACTGTGGGAGATTGTAAAAATTTGAAGGAAATTGCTCCTAGGTTGTATATCTTCATTAGTAAAAGAAATTTTATTTTGTTCTTTGGTGAAAAGGAGTGGCTTTAGAATAAAGTGAACAAAAATGTTAGTAGTTTCCTGCAGCTTCATCAGGTAAAGAGAGACTTATTAACAGTGCTTTAATAATGTGGCCAAGCTAACTTCTTCCTGCCAGTTACACCATAATATACATAAGTAAACGATTAGTGCATAAGTGACAGTCATCCAATCATCTTGTTAGAGTGTGCCCTATTCAAGTCATGAGGAGAGAGTAAATAATATAAAGTGATGCACACACAAAGCAAGGGCTTGACTATTCAGGATTTAAGTATTTCAAAGAGGTTCAGATAAATAGTTGGTAAATTAGAAGCAGTGTGCATCTAGGTCCTGCTGTCGGACATACACTGCACCTAAATTCGGTATCTTCACAGTAAAGTTAACACCATCAATTTCAATGAACTTTGATATGACTGTACAGTGGTGCCTCGCATAGCGACGATAATCGGTGCAGCAAAAATCGCTGCAAAGCGATTTCGTCGCTCTATGCGATATTAAAAAGCCCATAGGAATGCACTGAAACCCCTTCAATGCGTTCCTATGGGCTTCAGACTCACCTTTAAGCGAAAATCCTCCATACAGCAGCCATTTTTGCTGCGTGGTAAGCAAGGAATCCGTCTCAGAAAACAGTGGGCGGCCATTTTTTTTACCCGGTGGCCATATTGGAACCACCGATCAGCTGTTAAAAAATCATCGCTTTGCGATGATTGGTAAGCGAAACAGGGTACCGATCGTCGCAAAGCGATTTTTCCCTATAGGGAACATTGCAAAGCGATCGCAAAAAGTTAATCGATATGCGATTTCATCGTTAAATGGGGCGCCCGTTAAGTGAGGCACCACTGTATCAGGAAACTAATACGCAGTGCAAGATCAAGCAGAAAGGTGACAAATAAATGTAATGAAGTCCCTAGCACTTTTGGTTTCCCACATCTGCTACTTTGAATACTCATAAAAAGAACTGTTAACCTGTATAATGCAAGCAACGTTTTACTAGTTATCTTGATGAATTAGACTTTTCTGTTCTGCAACACCCCAGTCAGCAATCCGTTCCCTTGGACGCTTGTATGATAAAATATTTTGTTAATTTTGAGTGGAAGGCACACTGGCATGCAGGATATGCAGGGTTTTTAAAGTATGTTTCCTTTTTAAAATCTTATTGGCTAATTGCAATAATACCAAATGGCACTTTGTACTGACTGTACATACTGCTTAGCATGATCAGGAAAAAATGTCATGGCTTGTTTCCTAATTATTAGATACCAAATGAAAAAGTGAGATATGCTATAACTGTTTGAAATTCTTCATGCTAAAAGTACATACATCGTCAAAGGTAATTGCAGACTGTTGTGGGGGGGGGATCCTTTAAACTTGAACAGTTTAAAATTTCATATTCTTCTTAATGAGCTGAGTTACACTTGATTGCAGTAACAGCAATATTATACAGAAAATTGTAGCTACTTGCAAATTATGTAAAACTCTCTTACATACCTTAATGCCAGCTTTGGCTTCTAAAAAGGTGAATGGTATTACCGACACTACTGCACTTCACGTAAAGTGTAGCATCCTCATCCTGAAATATTTTTATTACTCTATATTGGTGATGCAGTACCCTATATGAGGGGGTGCTGATAAATATTGAGCATTTCCCAGAAAAAAAAGAGCGAGGAAGCTATAAATTGCAGGGTGCATTGGCCAATTTGTATTCAATGGTGCAAAAATCAACTACCTATGATTTTAACTTAACTTTCATTTTCCGGTCCAAAGTGAACATGGCGGCACCTCCAGAAAAATTCAATGTGGAAGAGCATAGGGCCATAATCAAGTTCTTGTTTCTCCAAGGGAATGGTGCAAAACAGATCCATGATGAAATGTCACAAACTATGGGTGACAGTGGCCCTTCATATGCAACAGTTAAATGTTGGGTTGTAAATTTTAAACTGGCCATTTCGGTGTTGAAAGTGAGAAGGCCTGTTTCTGTCTCTGTGTCTGCAAATGTGAATGCCATCCATGACATGATCATGGAAAACAGCCGAATATCAGCCAAAAGCATTGCTATATATCTGGCAATATCCCGTGAGAGAGTTGGTGCTATTATCCACAACGACTTGGAAATGAGAAAGCTGGCAGCAAAGTGGATCCCCAAACTTTTGACAATCGAACAAAAGAGGAAATGTGTGGAGTCATCGGTGGCTGTTTTGGAATATTTTGCAAGAACTGAGTCAGATTTCCTGGGCAAACTGGTAACTGGTGATGAGACATGGATCTACTATTATGATCCTGAGAAAGGAACAGTCTAAGAAATGGAGGCACAGTGGTTCCCCTAGGCCAAAGAAGTTCCGAGTGCAAAGGTAAGTGCAGAAGCAAATGGCAACAGTTTTTTGGGATAAGAAGGGAGTTCTGCTTTTGGACTACCTCCAACAGGGTTCAACCATCAATGCAAAATATTATTGTGCTTTATTGATGAAGCTGAGGCAAAAAATTAAGGAAAAAACATTGAGGAAAGCTCTCCAAAAGTGTCATCCTGTTGCATGACAACACCTCATCACACACTGCAGATGAAACAATGGCAAAATTGACGTCCTTAGGCTTTCAAGTGATGGGTACTCATTTTACTGACCTCGGAAGGATAGAAGGCTGAGTCAACCTTGAGCCGGCTACCTGGGATCGAACCCCAGGTTGTGAGCACAGTTTTGGCTGCAGTACAGCGGTTCAACCACCGCGCCACGAGGCGGTGTTCTGGAGGCAACTAATGCTGCAAATGAGTGGTTACACCAGCTGTTGGAAGAATTTTATTTGCAGGGACTTAAGTAGCTGCAGGACAGATGTCGCAAGTGCATTGACTTCCAGGGGGAATATGTAGAATAGTGTGGCAGTTACCACTTCCTAGCTCAATTTTTTTCTGGGAAAGGCTCAATACTTATCAGCACCCCCTCGTATGCAGTCATGTGAGTCTTCTGGAAAATTTTCTAATGTCCTAAATAGTGATTTAATTTAGAATGTTTATTTGATATAAATTTACTAAGCAAAATATTTTATGGAGCCTAACAGCCTGCAAGTGTTTGAACTGAAATATCTAACATACAGGTTATAGTATCAAACTAGGAGATTATTTGCCCAGTCATTCTTTTTTACCCTTACTGCCTTCCAACAAGTTATTACAGCGCCTGCATTCTTCTTGCCTTTTAAAAAGACATTGGTGGACCATACAGAATCTTAGAAGGAGATGCTATATGGTGTGCTGGTTAAACTTACAGATTATTGTAAAGATGAAAACAACCCATGCACAAAAGATGAAATGAGGCATTGCTGGGTTTATTGACAGTAAAACAAGCATAAATCACAGTTTTAGCTATGATGTTGACTAGTTGACTGTACAAGGCATATTTCCTAGGGATTATAAGCCATGTGCTGCCAAGTTGCTTCTAATATATGGTGATCCTATCAACTAGTAACCTCTTAAAGGTCTTATCAGTAACAACCTTGCTCAGGTTTTGCAGACTCAAGGCCATGGCCTCCTTGAGTGAATCAATCCATTCCATATTTCAGCTTCCGCTGCCTTCTTGGTATTATTAATTTATTAACTTTCTCAGTGAGTTGTGTTTTCTTATGTTGTAGCCAAAGTTTGTTAGCCTCAGTTGAGTCATTTTTTTTTCTTTCCAGAGATTTCTTGTTTGATTTGTCTTTGTGTATGTATAAATATAGCTCCCTACTTCAAATAAACAAACTTTCTTACTATCTGGATTTTATAGCCATATGACTTTGCTGGCTAGCAACTTTAAAACTGTCTGGTTTGCCTGATATTGCATTAATATCCATTCATCGTTCTTAAAAAATTTTATGATTCAGTTTTTTTATTATACCATAAACGGAAAAATTTCCACCCTGTATCACTGCCTATATATGACCAGATTTAACATTATTTGAAGCAGTGTCCTGCATATTCAGTGGATTCTGGTCCTGGGAAGATGTCGATAGGATTGCAGCCAGAGAAATGCTGTGTAATTCTTCATATATAACCCATCCTTGGTAGGACTTGCATGTTCTGTTGATCGATCTTCTCTAGGTTTGAACCAGTGTGTCTGTCAGGCCAAAGGAAGGGCTTGACCTGCTAAAGACATGTTGCACCACCCTGAACATATGAATCTTATCAAATTTAAGAAGCTAAGTAGGGTCAGATAGAAGGTAGACAACCATGGAATATCAGGAATTTCTGTGTAGGTCTAAGAAAGAACCCTGCCTGAAAACCTGGAGACCCATTTCTAGTTAAAGGTGACAGTACTCTGCTATATGAACCAGTGGTCTGACTCAGTATATAAAAGCCTTCTATGCTCCTATATTTTTCTAGACCTGTTCTGAGCACGTCCCTAAGACTCTGAAGAAATTTACAGTTTTTGGTTGTTGCACCAGCATGTTTGTATGTGCATATATTCTGACAGGGACAACTTTCAGGATCCTGGTATTTTGGTCACTTTACAGCTTGTTGCTTACAACTATAAAGTCACGTTTAAACTTGTATTAAAAAGTTCTAGTGGTCTCAGTCTCAGTGTCTTATAGTTTAAAATATTCTAATGTTATATATTCAGAAGTATTTATTTATTTATTTGCTTGTTTATTTATTTAAAATATTTTACCCCACCTTAACAAGGACCCAAAAAGGACCC